AGTCGCGTTATTTGTCTGGATCTTTTGGCACGTTGCACTCTTTGAAAAACAATCCTTACGAGTCATTCGATCCAGTGAGCCTTTTCAAACCCAGGACCCTGTGAACTCTATTTCCCAAAATATGAGTGCTATGCGCTCCCCTCCTACATTCATACACATTCCCAAGACTGGAGGGGTATCAATCGAAAATGGACTGAGCATTCATGGTATCTATGTTGGAAAACACGCTTTTACAAGGATGGACGATAATATACAGCGCATATACAAAATCAAGCAAAGTCGTTGCTCTGCATGGCACTCTCTGCCACTTGAAGACGTACACAATAGCATCACTGTCGTAAGGGATCCCTTGGATCGATTAGTCAGTGAGTTTTGTTATTCTCATAAAGTATTGCATCAAGCCGAGCTTTCGTGCGAGGGACTATCGAATTGGATTTTGCATGTCCTATCACAAGTATTGACGGGCAATAATAACACATATAATTGTCACCTACTAGCTCAGTGGGAGTTCGCCAAAAGGGCTGATATCATCATACCGTTTTGTGCATTAGGAACAGAGCATGGAAATCAAATGCTTTCTGAGCACTTCGAAATTGCTAACTTCACCTTGGGTAAGGAGAATGACGGTGTGTCACACGATGGAAAATGTAAAAACTTCACGAACTCCGTCCAGTGGGCTACCAAGGTTACCGACTGTATTTCATCAACCGCATATGCTATGTTTCAATACACGTATCGGGATGATTACAAGAACCTTGAAAAACTCTTCACGTGTGCATAGAGAATGCTCTGTACAACAAAAAGCGCATCCTGTACACGAAACAGAGATGTATCTAATGCGCGCGGTCGCTCAATCAAGATATTGTTTGCTCTTGGTCTTTCGAAGGGATAGGGTGGCGCGGAAATGTGGGTACATGGGTATCGATCATCAATGTCTCTCTTTTCTCCAATAAGTCATTTTCGACAGACTTTTCCTGCACACAAAGAAAAGGGCTTTCTTTGTGCTGGAGAATTATCACTCTAGATGTCTATGCTTGCCATTTTATCTTGAAAATCAAGAGTGGAACTGCTCTGCATGTATGATCAACTCTACGAAAACTAAATAAACGAGGAATCATACCTGAACAAAATTTGATGTCAACATTGTGCATGTCCATAAATTTATCTTGTTCCATCTGGCCTGTTTGTCGGCATCCAAAGAGCAGCTGAGGTTGTTACAGAAGATATAGATGGCAGTGTAGACTTACATCCTTTTTCCCTACGTCGTTGGTTTTTTCCCAGTCAAGGTAGTTGGGTTGAATCATTTTCTGCATCTTTCAACTAAAGCACAGCATCGTTCATGACAAGTAGTATGAATGTCGTGATTGAAGATGTAGGTGGTGGTGGCTTCTAGTCAGGGCATTTATGCAGTTATTTGGACAGAAGCGTACAGGGGAAGTAAAAAACACTGGTAATGCCATCTATAGGGTAATACTGCAGGATATCCACTGCGAGGAGGATGACAGGTGGAAGAGCTGACGGAGAAGTCGCACTGTCCAGTCATGGCCGTTCACCACACTGTTTGGACCCTACAATGGAAATGAACAATTCGGTCGAGATGTGGCCTTCCATGAAGCTGTCTTATCCAATTTTGTCCTGGAACTCCACGAGACAAGCCATGTGGAGGGTACCAAGAACTCACGGAAGATAATGCCCCCCCCGCCCCTGGAGATATTTGCAGGTCTACCACCATAAGTTAGATTCTGTGTCCGGTCCCACCAGCAGCCGTTCCGTAAGTTCAGTCACTATTTTGTCAAACCGCGGGGCATGAGCAAGGTCGGCAGTAAAGACGGTGGCCTTTGTCATCTTTGCACAGCAGTACCTCTGCATATATTTGCCCATATTGGCGACCCCTGAGGTCCGCTTCCACAGTCACATCTGGAGCATCTTACAAATTCTGGTCAAGTCCAAATGCACCTACTCAACTGAATCTAAGGCCTGCAAGCTGCAGGCAAGGCGCTTTTACAGCTAAAGTGGTGCATGGACCTGAGTAGTGTACCAAACTACATTCGGATCTGGTTGGGATCACAACAGGAATACCAAATCTCCCCGTGTGAGAAGATGCACCAGCTCCATCTTAATTCAGTCGGAATTGGCATTCTTATCATTATAAGTAGGTAAATCATCCCCGGAGGTAGGCATTTTTGTAATTCCGACGATAATGTCCGCCATTTCTGGGTCCTTTGCCCCAATGAAGCTTTCTATATTGCATTTCCACGTATCCTAACCCTCCAATCTTCCACTGAAGATTGCCATCCTGTAGTCATCCATATCTCCCATGACTTTAAGGTTATAATCCCCGCCAGCCGTACGTAGAGCCTCAAGATACAATTAATTCCTGTTTTAAATCTAGCAAATCCAATTACCAATTAAAACAGTCCTGAGTCTCTGCAAATCCAATTGCATAAAAGAGATTCAATTAAATCAGTCCTCTATTTCTGCAAATCCAATTGCACCAAAAATAGGTCGTCGATCAGTGTCTTTATTCAGTTCAAAGGTGAAGGCCAATTAGGGCCCATAATCTGATGTGAATAAACAAACCAAGAACGCTGTGGGAACCCAACACGCAATTAATTCTTCAGTACAACTAATACCCTGAGAATATACACCAATGATTGACCCCAGAATCTCGTACTAAGATAACCGAAGACAACCAAAGACACTGGTCGACGCCAGTCCTGTTGCCGTAACAATTTGACACATAAAATGATTAGGTGGACGCAAACCATGACATGACACGATAGCGATCAGCACATCGTGATACAGACTGTAGGACGCAGAAAGGATATAGATGCAACACTCTATAAACCTCCTATAGCTGATCTCCTGCTCCGTTAGCATCATCATCATGTCATCCTTCTATTCGCGTCATGAACCTGGCATGGAAGCGAGGAGGTCACGTCCTTAAAGACAACGCGCATATCTCAAGCAGCATCTTTGGCCGCCCTTCTCCGCCGTCGCTTCCTTCTCCATCTCCAGTATCATCACTTCCTGCACCAGGACTTCCCAGGGGTCTTTTTGTGCGCTACGCCATTGTGATGCACCACTGCCATGTTTTCGAGGCTGAAGTGTCTGCCGTATGTTTCTAAAACACTTCTGTATAGCACAAGCCAATGAGATGGGATTGCCCATCAGCAGGAGGGACGCTAGGCAGTGAATCTGACACATCCGCCTCGGGGCCTACTTCCGCTATCACGTTCCACAAAACATCTCTTAGGGGCAGGGGGAACGTGAGCGAATTTCCCTCTTTGGCAAACTCACAATAGGAGCTGACGAGATGTTCCTATTTGCGTCTGTAGTAAAGCACCACCCTGGTTTGAAAATTCGAAAAAAGTTAGGTCACTTTTGCCACGATTTCATCGCTGACCTTGTCGTACCCTTCGCTGGATATGAAGATATTCTGGGAATCGTTGCCACGACGGATTGATTCCAGGGTCCTAATTAAGTTGCCGAGAGGATTTCCAGAGTACTTCTTCGCGTCTGGGATTTTCTTGCATCAAAGATGCATGAGAACCCCAAATAGAAAAGAAGGAGCTTTCGTGTCGCGATAACAACCTATTGGCAACACAATACCTCTTTGTATAAGAAAATCTCGTGATCGCACCATTTCGGTTTGAATATATGTGGTGGCCGTCTTGTGTGGACCGATTTGACGAAAAGGCTTCGGCTTCTTTCTCACTTGCGCCAGCGCAATCTTTCTCTACAAGTCTGTAGGTAGCAGTGTTGTCGATAACGACAGCATAACGCAACCAGTGAGAACCAGGATAAGCCGTGGATTTACGTCCCATCGGAGACAAGCTTTGATCGCGCTAGGGTGGCTGAATAATGATGAGCTGCTGACAATTTGCTGGAATCAACAGGGCATTTGTCAGACCTCATGTCGAGTACTGCGCCAGGCTTGATGTTCCTGAGGATCTGTATGATGGGTAGGCACGATTTTCGAACGTGGAAGACGAGTAGCGCGCTATGCTACTGCTGTATTTTGAGAAAAGAGTGGTGTTGTACAAATGTGTATGTATGATAAAAACAGTACTCTGTTTTCCAAACGAGTAGTTGAAATTCAATTCTTGATATCTGAGTTCGCTCTTCACCCAAATATTTGACGCGTCGCCAGGGCATGAAATTTGTGTGTATCCAAGTGTGGGTATCCAAAAATTGCGAAGGGGTGATTTAACAATTACTGAGAATCTCTGCGAATATTTCGTCAGAGCGTTAAGAGCTTATGTACACTATTTCTTTGCAATTATTTCTTTATGATATAGGTTTCCACAGGTCAAAAACTAGCAAGATGGAGAGTACTGGTAGCGCTCATCAGCGTCTCTTTTCCGTTGATTTTCCTTCTGAATATCATCGAAGGCCTTAGGAGAGAGGGGTTCCGAGTAATTTGCTTCTTGCCAAATACGCAGTCCCTCTTGCAGATGAGGAACGAATCGCGCAGCATGGAGAGTTATGTTCGTAGAACTCTGGAAAACGCGAAATTGACACCCAGCAGTATGACACACGCATCCAGAAATCAAAGGTCCCTGCGTTGTACTTTGACCAACTGACGTTTCAACTGCAAATGGTAAGTGACCGATATGATAAGCTGGCTCCATGGACTTTCGAATCCAGTGGACAATGCCACTGTGGTGATCAATTGAGAATCCATGAGGATATATATCTATGATTAGGGCACGTGTGGGAAGCCAAAGTATATGTGTCAATGCACCGCCATGCACAAGTATAAAAATGTCAGTATTATACGCTAATAAGACCTGTTCTTCGATAGAGAGCTGAGCCATATCAACAACTTTTGGAGAGCTGCCCATTTGCACTTCAATCATGCTAACAACTTCTTGCAAATTGTAGATGCAACGACTCTTTGACCTTTGCACTAAGGTCACTCGAGGGGGATCCTTCCGCGGAACTCGGATAGTGACTAGCTGTTCCCTTTCTAGAATGCCATATCGATGGAAGACGAGCGAACGCAAATTCAAAGCCGCATCGGGAGGATCGAAGATTCCCCTGGGCCGATTGTCAGGCTGACAATGACCCCAGTGAGCGCAAGGTGTTCCGGTCCCCGCAAGAAGATTTTGAACGTGGTATATGTGGTTTTTCGAAGGAGGAACTATGATTATCTCTGGCAGGAACTCTTTCCAAAATTTGCTGTCAAGCAAGTCATTAGGAAAAGTATCTGTTAGAAACACCCCCCATTTTACAGTCTTCATCATAGTATCTATGCTTAGACCAGTAACATCTTTATCAGGATACAGATTTCTATGCATCCTTGCCAACGTTGGAATCATATCCTCGAAGAGGGTATGGTAGGAATTTGTCGGATTCAAACGATGTAAGGTGATGCCCCAATCAAAGTAGACAGTTTCATTTTCCTGAAGCTCCTCGCTTGTGACGGAAGTGATGTCTGAGATCACATTCACCTTGCAAGTAGCAGCGTGAGAAGATTCTTTGTTCACCGTTGAGCAGAGCATAGAAGGTACCTTGATTGTTGAGTTCTCGCCGAAAAGCCAAATTGTACCTTTACTCAATATAACATTTTCAAGGAGGCATTGTACAGAGCTCGTCGAGTTCCCATGGCAAAAGATGTGAGATGACTTATTCTGTGACTCTGATTTTGCGGTGAGAGTGACGACTTGCCAGTCACTGTTGCTCGGAAGGACATGATCTGGAAGTATATTGACTTTCAGCCCTCGATAAAGGTGCCATATTAGTAGGGCCAGTATTACAGCACCCAACACATGAGTGAAAGGGTTTTTGAATCGTTTCACTGATTTCGCCAAGTAGAACTTTGCTGTTCGCTCGCGGTATAGACTCATAGCTGAGACGTAATAGTCCGAAGTCTATATGTATCCGTGATGGAATTAAAATACAAAAAATGTAAATAGTCAAGTCACCATAGCATACCAGGTGCAACGGAAAGCACAAAATGCAATAACAAGCCCGACTAGGTGCTTCCCTTTTTAGCCAGGCTTTATCCTAACATAGATACCTAGATGGTGACACACACTACCTTTAATCCAATTGTGAAGTGAATGTAGATCCCTTACAGCTTTAATGCCTTGAAAATACACAGCGAAAAAAGCTAAGGTCGTTGAAGCCACTTCCCCCATTCGCCGTAACTTGCCACTTCCCCCATTCGCCGAAACTTGTGGCCGTTAACGATAATGGTGATCTAGGAGCTAGCTAGGAAGATCAAGAATCGATTTGATATGGAAATCGATTAATCCACGCTACTTACTCACCTAATCAATAAAATTCCTTCGGTTAATGGAATGGTGAAAGTGAGTCTAGAAACTCAAGATTCCATGACGTATGCAAATCTGAAGTCCAAAATGATCTATCATTTTTTGACCAATATAGCTCACAAGGTCAAGGATGACCAATGTGTTGCAATTAACTTCAATGGATACTGCAATTGATGCGTTAAATACGGGCATAAAGAACAAGAATGCCTAGTCAAGAAAAATGGTGGAGGCCGAATAGGACCTAATAATGGTTGCCGATATTGTAGAGCTGCCGACCCCTGGGGCAATGAATGCCCGAAATCTAAAAATAGATACGAATCCAACTCAAAAGAGCATTCTTATACATGCTTGTTGGCGACCAAGAAACATATGGACGTGTTGTGGAACCACAAGCATCTTCTATGATGTGGATAGCGGAGCTACATCCCACATGAAGAAGGATACTATGACGCGAATAAGGACGACATGATGATGCTAAGGGAGCATGAGATCAGCGATAGGAGGTTAAGCGAGCCGTCTTACAGTGTTGCACCTGTATCCTTTATGGATCCTACAGTCTGTATCGCGATGTGCTGATCGCTATTGTATCATATCATGGTTTGCGTCCACCTAATCATTTGTATGTTATATTATTGTACGACAACAGGACTGGCGTCTACCAGTGTCTTCGATTGTCTGTCGTTTTGGTTATCTTAGTACGAGATTCTTGGGTGAATCATTGGTATACATTCTCAGGGAGAATAGTGGTCGTACTGAAGAATCAACTAGGTATTGGGTTACCCACAGTATTTTGGTTTGTTTATTCGCATCAGGTTATGGGCCCTAATTGACC